CAGCGATGTCACTTGCGTCAGTAGCGAGCTCGAACGGGTTGTGTGGGTCTGCGATGTGAAGCACGGGCGGTGAGCACAAAATGTTTTTGAGGGCCGAGAAGGCAGCTTGCTTTTTCTCCCCCCACGTGTTCTCAACCCCCTTCCTCAACAGGTCTGATAGCGGGGCAGTCAGCTTCGCCATGTCGGGGACGAACCGGCGCACGTAGTTGACGAACCCCAAAAAACTCTACAACTCGGTCAAGTTGGTCGGCGCGTGCCATGCTTGAATCGTCGCGATTGTTCTTCGGGTCTATTTCCACTCCTGCAGTTGAAATAACGTGTCCCGAAAATTCCACGCGGTCCTGTAAAAACTCACACTTAGACGCTTTTGTCAGTAGGCGGTTCTCACTCAGTATTTTAAAAACTGCTTCGATGTCCTGTAAGTGTTGTGCTCTGTCGGGGCTGTAATCAGTATGTCGTCCAAGTATACTTTGACGCACATATCTAAGAGCGGGCGGAAAGCTTCGTTCATGGTCATTTGAAAGGTGGCGGGGGCGTTGGTCAGTCCGAAGGGCATGACGGTGTATTCGAAGGATCCGTAGCGTGTTCAAAATGCGGTCTTAGGGCAGTCGGGCGGATTGACGCGAATCTGGTGGTAACCCCCTCGGAGGTCGATTTTCGAGAAAACCCGTGCTGTGCCCAGTTGGTTGATCAGTTCGTCGGCTCGCGAAATGGGGTAACGGGATTTGATGGTAACCCTGTTCAGTGCTTTGTAGTCTATGTTCATGCAAAATCCCCCGTCTTTTTTCGGTGTGAACAGTATCGGTGTTGCGAAGGGCGACGAACTAGGGCGAATGAACTCCTTCTCCAACAGGTAATCGAGCTGCTTCCTCAGTTCGTCCAGTTCAGGCTGGGTCAGTCGGAACTGTCGCTGTACTGTTGGCTGTGCCCCCGTTTCTAACTCTATCCTGTGGTCGTGCGGTCGCTGAGGTGGCAGTCCCGTCGGTGAATCGTCTGGGAAAATGTCGTTGTACTGCTTCAACAGTGCTGCCAGATCACTCGGTACGTCAGCCAGCAGTGTCTGTAAATCCCCTCCTTCGTCTGCTGCCTCGGCTTCCCGAATGTCGACCGCGTACACGTTAGCTCCTGCCGCTACGGCGCGTTTCATCGTGATCGCGTTGACACGCACCGACGAAGACTCAAGCGAGCCCCAGCAGGGTAGGGCGATGTTGTTACCGTTCACTCGCATGGTGCAGTCACCCGTCGTCCAGTTGATTCTTGGATTGTGTCGTCGCAGCCAATCACGCCCGAGTAAAATGTCGGTTCCGTCGAGGGTCGTTGCAAGCATTCCCTGGCTAAACGTGAAGTTACCCCCACATCGAATCCCAACCCGGTCTACGCGTTCTCCTATTGCCAGCGGTGTGCCGTCTACAAGTCGTGCGTCGATCTCAAGTAAACATCTGTCCAGTGGCAGTCGTAGTTTTCGTGCTGTAGCAGTGTTGATGAGGCTGTGACTAGCTCCCCAGTCTACGAAGATTTTAACTAAGTCCGTCCCGATTTTCCCACTAAGTAGTATGGGGCTGTCTACCGTAGTCCCCTCCTTATTCGGCGGAGTGTGGTCGATTGCGTGAACCGGCACAATAACTCGGTGAGGGTCGGTTGGGTCGGGCGAGCAGCGTGACCTGTCAGTAGAGGGCGCGTCTGCTACTGACTCCCAGCGTTTCCCTGCTGCTTGGTCTGATTGTGCTGCTCAGCTTCCCCCTTCCGCTTAGCGTTTTCCGGGCATTCGCTCTTGCGATGTCCCGGATGATTGCACGCAAAGCAGCGCCCTTTGAACGGTGCGGCAACAGCATTTGCGGCAATGGCACGTATCTTGGCGCCCTCGTTTGTCCCACGAGGCCGATGTCCCCAATGGTTGCTTCCGTAGGACCCCGATCTCGGTCGACGGAAGAAATCGAGTTTCTCCGCCATAGCGAGAAATTTCTTGAAAGTCGGTGACGCCGCGAAGTTGGATTTCCTTAGCGATGTCCTGCTTCAGGCCGCCGATGTAGCGGTCGATGCGCTCCCTTTCGTGCATACCGTATTCTCCCGGATAAAACACCCTAGGGTATTATGAAAACCACCGGAAAAAAATGGGGGGGGTCTCCTCAGCGGAAAATCATGTATAATACCCGGGTCTTATTATATTGTATATTTTTTATGAAGCAGAAATGATGTGAAACAAAATGTGGGGTGTCACTTCACTTCTAGATTGCTGATCAGTACCGCAAAACCGAGTACGAGGATATTGTGGGCCACGTGGGCCACTTCACCTCTTGGACCACTTGCAGTGGAAGATTCGCCAGCGTGGCGGCAGCGAGATTTTGGGATTTGTCAAACATTATATATGTTGTTGTGCTTGTTTAGGCTACAGTGGGTTAGCCTGTAGGGGGTACACAATTCTAGGGTTATGTATTTGTACTGTTTTCACTCTTAGTTCATTCATTCCTGTTCAGTGATTCCAACAGGATTCACCAGCGTGGCGACAGCGAGATTGTGGGAGGGGGGATATCTCGGCTGATTCTAAGTGAAATTACATGCGAAATTTCTTCTAGGGAGTGATTTTCGCGATATCCTCCCATAAGGGATCAGACTCGATAACAGCTATAAAAGGAATCTATAAGAAAAGCGGGTTGTTATAGAGAATCACCCCAAAAAGAGGGGTATATTACTAACGGGGTCGGATATAACACCCACCCCGTATTAGCTACCTGTGGGTGTACAATTACGGGGGGGTATTTTATCCGGGAGAATACGGTATATCCCACCTGCTCGCATAGCGCCAAAAATCCGCTCGTGTAGTCCTGGACGGAACCGAGTTGGCGCCAAGTGCGGAGCTTCTGCCGCGCCGCGATCGAAGCCGCGATTGGCTCGAAACGAGCGCGTAGACCTGCGCACCACGCGTCCCATGTGCGATGCTGGGGCACCTCCACGAAATACGACAGCGCCCAGTGTCCGGTTTGTCCTTCCCGTGTCGGTAGAGTCGCGTAGTCCACCGGCTTCGTGACGATGACGCGCCACCAGTCCATGGCGGGTCCTCGCAGCAACGACACGGCGTAGCGAATCTTCGCCGTATCCTCCGAGACGTAGTTCGCGTCGAAGAAAATGTTCAACGTGAAAAGCCACGCCTGAACGGTAGGACCACCCCACTGACTTAGGGTCAAAGCATGGCGAACGCTGCGGCTTTAGCGGCATCGGCGACGGAAGAGTTGATTCGTCGGCCGGCACCGAAATCGTGACTCGAGGCTGAGTCGTGGCCGCATTCGTCGCGTCGGGGTGTGTCGTGCCGTGGTCGTCGTCTCCGTCATGGCGGACGACGCCATCACTTGCGGCGCTCGCGGGTTGCCCCCACATTTCCGTGCTGTGATGTCTATGGTGCAGGCTGAATCGGAGTGCCAGGTGCTTGGGATTGTGCCCGTGTGAGGTTGTTTTGTAGGGACGAGCGTTTTGCCGTCAGCGTCGCGATTTTCGCGGCGCTCTCGCGGATTTGTCGCAGCGGATCGTTCAAGTGCTCCTGCGTGAGAGTCGTGACGTCGATATGTTCAGCCATTTCGAAAGGCGGCGGCTCGTCTTAGTCTAGGCGCAGTCGTGGCTGCACGCGTTTACGAGAGAACGCGAGGACAGCGGCTCCTAGGTGCTAAGGTACGTGAGTCCCTTCGAGTGAAAAAACAAAAGTTGATTTCCTGGGGTGCGGAGATGCGCGGTCCGAAAGAAAGGGGCTCTGAATACCAAGTGTTACGGGTGCAATGAATCGAAGTAGCGAGAATTGCACTAAGGTGTCAAACGAGTACAAAATGTGAGCGAAGGCATGAGCGAACATTTACGGTATACGCGAAATATGCATACGGTAACGCGGTGCGTGCGAGCTAGCCAGTGCTACGCTGGAAGCGAGGCTCGGGCTGGTCCCGAAGCGTAGGCCGACACGGCCAGGCCAGCAGTGCGAGGTTTGGTGAAACAGTGCGCGCTAAGTCGGCGAAGCCCCGTTAGCAGTAACGGGCGAACAACGGCTGTTGTTGTACGCGATGTAGTCGGGCTCCGTAAGGAATGCCGAGAAAATTCCTTACAATTACTTGTTTCCAACAATGGTGCTGACTGTGGTGCTATAGGGGTGTACGTGCTAAGCAGTGACGCAAAGTAAGGAAAAGGAAAATTTCATTCAGTTGTGGACTGTATCCGATCCGAAGCCAAATTCCACCTAAAATTTCTGAAGAGAGAACATACCTACATGGCCATGTCTGGTGGGTGCGATGAGAATGGCTGATATTTGGGGAGGTAAGCCGCCATGAGTGCATTTGATGCAGTGTTCAGATCATTAGAGCTTTGGGTTTCAATGAAGAGAACACTTATGAATCAACGCGTCAAAAGCTCGCAGAAATTGCTAGCACATGTGTTTGCGAGGTCTACCGCAATGTTTAGTAGGTAGGTGTGGAGACTGTAATTACGGGGCCTGGGAGCAAAACGTGCTAACACGGAAGCTACGGTAGATTCGAATAGGAATTGCAAAAGCATAGAACCGTATAATGTCTATCTGGCACATCGCATACGGGGCCTGCATTAGCCTGCTTCTGTATGAGATGAAGGGTGGACACGAGGACTGCATGGCGGCCTCTCGACAACGCTGGGAAAATGCCGACAGCCGCTGGCGGTGGCGGGATAGCGCAGCTGTGCATCCGCGACTAGTCATGCCTCGAAACCCAGCTACGCGCCCAAGCGGAGGGGTGGGAAAACGGGTGGAGAGAGCGAAACAAGTGTAGGCGCGATAATAATGTCGGCTCCCCACCGACATCCAAACGAAACCTGACTGTATCTCACGGAAGTCGAAATGACGTGTTGTCACGATTCCCGTTGCCTCCTCAATTCGTGGTAGTCTCGAGCGATCAATTTAAGACTTGTGGTGAGTACGCCAGCAAGCGACGTGAAGCGCGTGGTCGATGCGGGATGGAATCAGACTCTGTCTTCGATAAATTCGTGCAGAGAACGAGCTAATCGATGAGGCCCTGCCCGCCAATGAGCACCTGCGCGACCAGCGCGGCTGCACACGACATCTGCACAACATCGCATCGAGACCGAGCACAAGGATTAGATGTTAATAAAACAAATGTCGTCTAAGCTTGGGAGGCTAGAATTGGGGGTGCTAAATCTTGTATATGGAGTTCTAACGGCCGCAACAGCAATGCTGGGTCATGTCGGGGGCACACTCACCATGGCTAGGCGTCCCGTCAACGTCTCAATGTCCTTCACGAAAGCTGACACTGCGGAAGCCGTAGCGACGAGGAAATTTCCCGCCGATCCCAGATCGTCAACCTGCCCCGCAGGCACACGCGCGCGAGGCTGCTGCGATGGCGTTGCGCTGGTACCCAGTAGCGCGTTCCCCAAACCAGTGGGAAGCGGGGAAGCGGACGGGCGGAACTCGTACGGCAGAGGCCGATCCGTGAAATTGACTAATGTGCATATGCGCGGCACGTTGGACGCGTCGTTGAACGGCATCATCGGAGCTGCGGCAGCGGCTGCATTCGTGCGGGTGGACGGTTCCGCGTTTGACGGCCGAGATGGCGGAGTCCTCGGGGCTTGTGAGTCGAGAGACGCGCAGATCCGGGACACATTGTGCGGAGCGGAGATTGTGCGAGATTGGAAGAAGAATTGACAGTCTTTGGAAGGAGGGAATGCAGGCGTGGCAATAAAGCGTGTTGGGAGGGACTGAGTGAGAGCCATGGTAAAGTGACTTATTCTGATGGCAACGGTGAGGAGCAAGTCTGTCAGGATGTTGACAGGGATCGTTAAAGTGGTAGAGAAGATTGATCAGATAAAGTGTCGAGCAGCACAATAAATCTAGAGACCGCTTAGTGTGGGTGGAGTGGGAGTCTCACTGTAGGACCAACCAGAGCCTGTGCGGGCGTGAGTCGAGGGGCGCATGAAGTGGACGGAAATGTGGACGGTGGTGGCCACGTGGGAGCTCAGGAAATGCGGAGAAACGGAGGAAGGCGGAAAGTGAAGGTGGGCGCGCGGGAAGTTGACGAAAAGGTTGGACGGAGTCACAAAGGGGAAGGCCGGAGCTTCTGGGTCGATTGAAGCGGAAACCAGGAGCATGCACCTGGGTGCGATTTGTGGTGTGTGTGCGCGGGCCTGAGGTGTGACTTCATCCGCAAGCGGCTTCAAGCAGACCCTTCGGTGATCGGTGGGAAGGGGAGAATCAAAGCAACGGTGAGAAGTTCTACCGCCACCTAAATTCCCGGCTGATGCGGAGCTGCCCAGTCACTCGCATATGTGTTGGCGTCATCAATTCGCCACATAAACCTCCAATGGCTTACTGAGACGCCAGGTGGATAAACCACGTCACGTACGACGATTCACAAGCACATCGAGATGGAGGGAAATTGGGTGGGTGAGACATATGAATAATTAACTGTTGGCTAGGATGGCACAGCCAATTACCCCGCGTGCCCGTTCTCACCACCAGATCCATGATGGCCCCGCATCGCCCAATGCGCTACTAGAGAGGCCCTTTTATGTAAACGGAATATTTGGGATTGAAAACGATTTAAAGGTTAAGTTATAGGGGAAACCCCATTTGGTATTACCCTGGCTATCGACCGTAATCCGCCTACCCATTTGTTTACACGCCTCGCTGAGTATCGAGGCAAATGTTGGTGTTACAATCCCAAATGGGACTTAGCGAAGGATCGCCGCAGGGTTGATCGCAGGTAGTAGTGCTGCAGAATTTATAACCGCAGATCATAGTGAATAATGACTGAGATTGATAATAGCATGCATGCATCGAGTTTATATAGGAAATACAAAGGAATGTGAAACGACCTAGACTAGCCATGTACTCTAAGGGGTACATTCCCTTATTACAACAAATTCAAACCATGCGGCGCGGAAACCTGTTTCAAACATGTTCTCTCTCTTTTTTATTTTAAATGCTTATGTCTGCATCGGTCTTGGTCATACAATTGCTGGTGTTGCTTCTGTCAGACTTTATATTATTTATATTTGTAACTGCCTGTAGCTGTAGTTAGTGTAGTTATTGCAAATTTTGTTAGGTGGTGCACCCTTTTGTTTCCTATACTATATGTTCTTTGAACCTATAGTGAAACTCACTTTTCTCCTTTCACAACTCTCTCGACTCTCCCCCCTTGGGCCCAACTCACTCGATACCTAAGTTGGGCCTAGGCTCCTAAGCCTAGGCCCTTACGTTCTAATTATTTTAACATGGTTGTCAGAGCAGGTTGGTCCTGGCCTGTGGGCCCGACCAAAGCTTCCGCTGCTGAATTTCTGGTCACGCGCCTCGGGCGCGTGACGTTTTTATTTTCTACCCGTCGCGGACCCGCCCCCTTTGGCGCCCGCGGCGGTGCTCTTGGCGCCCGCGGACCCGCCTCTGGCGCCCGCGGCGGTGCCCCTTGCCGTCGCGGACCCGCCCCTGGCGCCCGCGGCGGTGCTCTTGGCGCCCGCGGACCCGCCTCTGGCGCCCGCGGCGGTGCCCTTTGCCGTCGCGGACCTGCCCCTGGCGCCCGCGGCGGTGCCCTTGGCGCCCGCGGACCCGCCTCTGGCGCCCGCGGCGGTGCCCTGCGCCATCGCGGACCCGCCCCTGGCGCCCGTGGCGGTGCCCTTGAGCCGCCGCGGACCCGCCCCTGGCGTCTGCGACGGTGCTCTCCGCACCTACATTCCCTGAAGCCGCCCCTGACACCACTGCACCGACACCTCTTCGCCGCTCTGCGGCTTTCTTCCTTCCCACCCCCCTCCTCCTTTGTCTCCCTGCAGCCGCGGGGAGGAGGGTATGGGGGTGGAGGGTGTTGGAGTGTGGGTCGTACCCTTCCCTTCCCCTCCTCCTCCGTTTGTTCCCACTGCTGCAGCTGCCGCTGGGGGGGAGGGTGTGAGGGTGTGGGGGAGCAGGGGGAGAGGCGCCGGGGTGACGGGTGTGAGGCAACCAGCAGCCGTCCCTCCACCTCTCCTCTCTTCCCCCCCTCTCTACTGCTCCTGCAGCAGTGTGGGGGAGGGGAGGGAGGAGGGTGAGGTGATGAAGGGGGTGACCAGTTAGTGTCTGCCCGCCTGCAGTACCTGCTGTTGCTTGGTTATTATCTTGCTTGTGTTGCTTGTGTACCCCTGCAAGTTGTGTTCTGCACAAACTTCTGCTGCAGGCAGTTATGGGGGAGTGTCAGACTTTATATTATTTATATTTGTAACTGCCTGTAGCTGTAGTTAGTGTAGTTATTGCAAATTTTGTTAGGTGGTGCACCCTTTTGTTTCCTATACTATATGTTCTTTGAACCTATAGTGAAACTCACTTTTCTCCTTTCACAACTCTCTCGACTCTCCCCCCTTGGGCCCAACTCACTCGATACCTAAGTTGGGCCTAGGCTCCTAAGCCTAGGCCCTTACGTTCTAATTATTTTAACAGCTTCTACTCTTCTGACTCCTCGACTTCGTACTCGGTAGAGTCGGCTCCTACCGCATACAGGAATGCCTTCTCATTAAACTTCATATTGTAACGCTCTCATTCATTCTTGGGCGCGCAGAGGGCTGACTTGCTTGACTACTCCCGTGAGGTCGGAGCACTACTTGTATTGTTGACGTGGCAATCGCTTGGTGAGGAAGTCAGCTGCCATCTCGGTAGTGGGGCAGTACGCGAGGTCACTTTTGCCCTGGTCAATTTCGTCTTAGACGAAAAAATATCGAGCGCGATGTGCTTCGTGCGATTGACGAACCCAGGCTGGTTTGCGATCTTGATGGCGCTTTGGTTGTCACAGTGAAGGTGAAGGTGGGCGAAGTTGGAACTTTCGCCTCCTGCAGCAGTTGTTGTGGGTAATGGTCTTCGCGAACTGTGGCTGTTGCGGCGATGTACCCTGGTTCAGCCGACGACAGGGCAACCAGATCTTGCTTCTGCGAGTTCCAGGAGATTGGTCCCGTGGGTCCAGGCGGAAGACAAATCCAGTTCGTGACTGTCGATTCGCAGGATCAGCTGCATGATCTGCGGCCACGCAGCCGGTGAGGTTGAAAGAGGTTGTTGTCAACGTGGAGTAGGAGAGCCTGATGTCAGGTGTGGAGACGAAGTACTGTAGGGCACGCTCCAAGTTCAGCTGGTTCACAGCTACTGGCTTGCGAGTGTGCCAGTTGGCTGGCGATGTACGAAAGGTCGGCTCGGCAAGTGACAGAGGCGAACAGCAGGCACCCCAGATTTTGCTGGTACAGTTGGAGTCCTCCGGATGACAGAGGTTTGTTGTCCGTTTTGTAGTTGGCGCGGGGAGTGCGATAAGGATTTGAGAGTGGTGCGAGAAAAAATTTGAAGCGTTCTCCTAACTGTTAACGGAAGGGGAGTGTTGGCCCCGCCCTCGCTTGGGCAACGCCGACGACTTGGTCGGATGTACAGGAGTAGTTGCCGACCGTTCGCAGTGGGAGAGCTGCTCAACAGGCTTTCTCCAGCTGCAAGGGACCGCTGTGGTGTTGCTGTCGACTAGGGAGCTCGACACCTGCTTCTGACTAGTCTGGGCGACGGGTGGGCCGTCGACCTGGAGGGGCAGTTTGACCGGGAGGTCGACGGAGCAGTCTGTCGACCTGACAAGTGAGTAGCAGTCAACGAGGGTAGCTTGGCGACAACAGCTGACAGTTCCGGTCGACGGAAGGGGTCCATCGACCAGGGGGTAGCTCGACAAGAGCTGAGATCGACCAGAGGCACCTGGTGGTCGACCAGCGGCACCTGGTGGTCGACCAGAGGCACTGGTGGTCGACAGGAAGCACCTGGTGGTCGACCAAGTCGACCGGGTAACCTGCTCGATGAGTTCTGCGGAGGCATGCGAACGTCGTCGAGGTCGCGATGGCAAAGGCGACTTCGGGTTAGTATTCCGAAATCGATGTGGTTCGTCAGGCGCAGACAACAGCCGACGGATGCACAACGGTGCAAGTCGGACCAATCGTTTGCGCGCACCTGCGAGCGTGCGCACTGCTGTCTTCTACGAGGCAACGCTGGACAGCCGCTCTGCTGCAGCGTTGGCACGCTGTCGACCTGCTGGTTGGCAGGCTGCCTTTCCGCAGTGCTGGCGCAGCTCCTCTACGCAACGCTGGCAGGCGGTCGACCAAGTTGTGCTGGCGTCTGACCAGACTAGCTGCAGGGTTGCTAGGTGACTGATGTAGTCATTCTGTCATTGCTTGTTCAATCATCCTGTAATTCCAACTTTGCTAGTGAAACTCTTGCCAACTTCACCCGTGAATGTGCAAGTGCTAAGGAACGCAAGCAAAGCTACGATCACTCTTAGTAGTTCGTGCCTACCTCCCCCCGTAGTCTAGCTCACTACCTTTATCGAGTGACTCTCCGCACCAACTACTCTGCGTACTTGGAGACTGACAGATGAATTGCATCTGGCACGTAGGTGATGTTCAGTCCCAGAAACTGCGTAACATTGTGGTTGATGGTGATGTCAAAGCGCTGCGCCAAGTTTTCCTCGAACTGATTGAGGAGCTTGTTGCAGGTCCCAGTATTCAGTAGGTTGTCGATG